TGAGACAACAGTCTCACTTAGTTGCCCTGGGTAGAGTGCCATGGCACTCACAGCAACCTCAAACAGTTGGGCTCAAGCAATTCTCTTGCTTCAGCCTCCCAAGTAGCCAGGAGTACAGGTGCCTGCCACCAGCTAATTTTCCTGTTTTTAGTAAGAGATGAGGTCTCGTCTTGCTTGAACTCCTAAGCTCAAGCAATCCACCCACCTTGACCTCCCTGAGTTCTAGGATTACAGATGTGAGTCACCAACTTGCTCAATTCCAAAACATTTTCATCATCCTAAACAAAAAGTTCATACCTATTGTCAGTCACTCCCAATTTCCCTCTCTCACATTGTCCCTTCTCCAATGCCTGGAAATCACTAATTCTGGACATTTCATATAAATAGAATCATACCGTTTGTGGTCTTTTGTGTCTAGCTTTTTTTTTTAAAATATGTTTTCAAGTGTCATTCATTTTTTAACATATATCAGTGCTTCATTCTCTTTATGGTCAAATAATGCCATCATATGGATAGACCACATTTTGTTTATTCATTCATCTGTTAATGGACATTTGGGTTGTTTCTACTTTGGGGCTATTAAGAATAATGCTGCTATGAATATTCATGTGTTTGGGGGTGTGCGTGTGTATGTGTATTTTCATTTCTCTTGGGTGTATAAATATTCTTAGGAGTGGAACTGTTGGTTCATATGGCAACCCTGTGTTCATAATCATTTTGACTTCCTCCTAAGTCAAAGATATACACACACAGTTTCAGATTTGCCTGGAAGCCTGGGATGTAATAGAGATCAGGCAAACCTTAGGCATTCTGTACTTGTGCATTCATAAAAAGTCTTAGAATCATAGAATTTTAGAAATAGAGGGAATTTTAGAGATCTTCTCATATGATCTCATCAGTTTATAAATCAAGAATCCAAGACCCCAAGTAAGCAATGTTCCTAGGGCCCTGCATCAGATAGGCAGATGTTCAGCTGCTAGCAACAATGGTGACAGGTTATTTTTTCACTTTCACTTTAAAAAAGAAGTCTAGAGACACGCAGTCCAGGCAGTGTAGCTCTACAATATCCTTATAGACCCAGACTCTTTTCTTTCTGCTCTTCTGGTCAATGCCAAGTAGCTACCACCTCAAGTTCTCAGGCCATAGACTAGCAGCTCTGGCCAAAGTACCTGGTTCCAGGCAAGAAGGATGGGGAATAGGTGGGGTAAAAAGGCATCTTCCAGCTGAGTCAGCCACCCCTAGTGATCTGTGCCAGGTCCCCCCCCCCCACACACACACACACTAACCTGGGCTTGCCCTTCCTTGGCCACTCTCCCACAAGTGAGCAAAGTAAGGTAATTTTCAAGCTGGGTAC